CGCAACAATGTTATTTCTTTTTTTATTTAGTTACTTTATTTCCCGTGATGGAATTTGTGAGAAAAGTGTTTGGTGTTTGTAATTATAATTGCATGATAAAGTAATTACGATTAGAAGCTTCATTTTTATAGTTATTCCTGTTATAATATTAATAACAATAATAATGTAATTATTATTACAGTTATTATTCAGTATATTAATAAAAAAAACATAAATTATATAGCTATTTTCGGATCCAATTATACATATTTTTGTGTACAGAATTGTAAATAATTATTATTATTAACATATTATTATTATTATTAACATATTATAGCAGTAATAACCATTATTGTATCATATAATTATAGTCATAAATCAAACACTTTTCTTTCAGTGCAGTACGACGTGTATTTTCACTGAACAATAATTAATTATAAATTATTCACAAATTTTATGCAAAATCTCTAACATGAAGTCATAGCTTTAAAAAACAATAGAAACATTAATACGTATATAATTAAAGCAATGAAAACCTGATCAAGCAATTAACATTCAAGAAATCACATTTACAAGCAGCTTTCTAATAATCTTCTTAAGAGTTTTACAATATTCTTGTTTATTTTCTGGAAGTAAAAAGATTCTATTTTATTTTTTCATGAAATATTTTTGCAAAAATTAAATTATTCAACAAATTTTTTATTAGATTTCATTTCTAAAAATTGAACCAATCGATTCAACGTAAATATCGACAATTAATTAATTGTATAGAGAGAGCATATTATTCGACGAAAAATTTTTTGCATATTCAATCAGTACCGCGATAGATCAAACTTTGACCGCAGCAATAACTTTGACGAACACTTATTATTAATACTCACCTGCGCTGCAACCATGCCTTGCCTCAATCTCTTGAGATCTGTGTGGCTCCAGGCGCTCCGTGACCAGGGATGAATGTCACTTAAGTCATCAAACCTGAACTCCCTTAGTTGGTTCTTCAGAAACTTCCGTATATTCCAGGGTAGGTCGTTGTGTCTGAAAGAAAATGCGAAATATCGATTGATATATGCATACACGCCGCCCGTGACTTTCCTATCCTTTTTAAGCTAAACATGACGTGCTACTAAAACAGTTGGATAAATTATTCGGATAGAATATACATTCTTCAGGCACATGTGATGTGAAATATATGTATTTCCGTGCGCGGAACTTCCAAATACTTTTCCAATAAAGTTGTTTTACATGAATGCTCGTGATCCTCCGACGAAAAGACAAAGCACCACGAGTGTCACGATTTCTTAAAAGAATCAGTTAAAAACTTGGATGTTAGCAGAATATTTCAGCTACTATTTGTTAAAAGTTTTATAACTTGTGCAAGATGCATTCATTTCATTTCTCATTGCTTGTTTGAATTTATAGTTTAAGCTTAATTACTTCTGGTGTTAATCATACTTCAAAACGAGAATATTCGATGTCCTGTAATTTTGTTCTACAATATAGTCGAACAAACTCTCAGATAGCCAAAGTTTAGCCTTTATAACAGCATTATCTGATGTCCAACTTGAGGTGGACTCGGTAGCTGTGTCAAACTTATTTTCCGCGAAGTTATACAGAGGATGCTTCACGGAAACAAGAGTGTATTTGCATTCTTGTTGAGATGAAACATGAATTTAATTCTCTCTGACGTGTTGGATACGTTTAAACTTTATTTTGAAATAAATATTTATTATATATTTTATCAAAAAATGGAATTTTTGATATTTAATATGTACAAATACAGGATCTCGCATTAACTATGTGGAAAATTGAATTCTGGCGAAATAAGGTAATTAGTTTTCATATGTAATGTAGCTTATCGTGTAACTATAACATGTTGATCAAAAGATGCTATACAAGACTCAATAATGGATAATTTTTGGGCTATGATTAAAGATCTATTAAAGATGTAAAATTTGTGCTTACACAACACCTTTGAAACATTATAATTAAAGTCTTGTGTCTCTTATATCTTTTGTTCAATTACATTATATGCGAAAACTAACTCATTTCATCGGAATTCAATTTTCCACATGATTAGTACGGGAGTCTATATCGCATAATTGAAAGATTTTAAAAGAAAGATCATTCTTTATAAAATGACGGCGAAAAACATAATAATAAAAAAATCTCAATATATTTTTTAATCTCAATATATTTTTTATTACAAAATATATCTTTTTATTTTATATATTAACAACAATATTTATTAACTTTAAACTTTTAACTTATAACATATGAAAAATTAATTATTGATAAAATAGAATACAATTATATATATGTATAATATTTATCGACAATGTTTGAATAAATTTCATTCAATTTTCGTAACTACAAAATCAATACTATTCTGATTTTCATATTAATATTTCCATATTAATGAACATAAAATAATGATATTATAAATTAACAATATAAGCTTTATCCATTTAATTCATTTTATTTGCTTTTGTGACAAATGTTTCAATGTTTGAACGTATAACGTGGCGCGCGTTCGCAGAAAGGGATATATTACATATTACGTATCACTAGTTATCTGATCAATCAATATTTCTCTCATGAACGGATGAAGAAAGCTTGGACATCGCGGCGTATAGTATCGGAAGAGACGCACGTTCATTACGCGCACTAATTGTTGCAGCAATCGTTCACTCGGCACGAGGTTGAAATACGTTCGGTCAATTCGAAGAGGTACATACGTATAACTGCGATAACGGTTTGCCCGATACGTAGCGCGTTACACGTGATCTGTTTTTGTTATCTATAACTGCGTGTTTCCTAGAAATGAAAATGATCAGAAAAAAAACTAGGAATTTTGAATTAAAAATTCAGTGAAAAAAATTTTTTTTTTTGGTTTTTTCCTTCAAAGTTGTTTACTTGGATATATATTTTTTAAACCTTTTATTTCATTTTCACGCTGTGTTATTGTTCTAGAATTCAACTTTTATATTTATCCAAAAAATTTTTGTAAAAAGATAGCTTATAAAGGTTAAATAAAATGTAGAACAATGATTAACTGACAGTGATTATGGATATAAGTACATTATCATTCATAATTGTTTGAATAATATTTTATATTGTTTTTTATGATTTTAAATAAGTATTGCATATTGTTGGTAACAGAAATAATACTTTATTAGAATAATTGATGTTGTTTTGTTGTATATTTGTTGTAATTATACATATTCTGAAATATAAATTAATGAATAACATTTGTCGGACTATCTATAGATATTATTATAATGTACTTTTACACTTTCTGGTGGCAAAGAAACATAAAATATTATTTTGAATGGATATTGTTTAATATTTTTTTTAACTATTAAATAGTCAATTCCATTGAAAACCTATAATAAAAAAGCGTTATATTAAATAAAATCTTTAGAAACATCATCATCGTAATAAATTATTCAATATGCTTCTGTTCAATATTCCGTTTAATATTTGTTTTGAAACCAAACAGTTATGGATATTTAAATTTAACATTTAAGATTTTTTTTTCTGTTTTCGTAACTATTTTTTATGGACCTTTAAATATGCGATTACATTAAATATGCGAAAACCCATAAGTATTATATTATTAAATAAATTTCTTTTTTGAAATGTTATCACAATAAATTATTTAACAAGCTTTTATTTAATATTTCGGTTAATATTCGTTTTAAAACTAGCAATAGTTATTTAGATACTATTCAACTTTTTTTCCATAACATATTCTTTATGAATCTTTAAATACAATTCTACCGAAAAGCCATGATAAAAAAGTATTATAGTAATTAAAATTTTTATTTTTTAGAAGTATTGCTATAACAAGCTATTTAAAGTGCTTCTGTTCAGTATTCTGTTTAATAATTATTTTGAAACAGTTACTCTTTTTTAGAAAAAAATTATGAATAAATAATAATAAATTTATATTCATAATGTTCTTCATACATATAAATTAACAATAAATAGTATATAATATACTGCCAATATAGTGATTTCAATTGGGATATAATTGGCCGACACTTGAATTTTTCTTTTTTTTTTTCTTGTAATTTGGAATGTCAATTTTAAGATACTGAACCATACTTTTCTTTTAAACATTTTTGTTTCAGAATTTTATATTTTTATATGAAACAGTGCATTTTTCTGATTTCGTTAACTATAATTAGTTACAACAATTTACAATTTGTTATTATAATAATTGAATTTATAATTGAATATATAATTGCACAAATACTTTCTAAAGATGTCAAAATGAAGAAATTGTTTAATAATTTATACTTGTAAATATATATACTTGTAAAAGTGATGAAAATTAAACCAAGAAGTGAATGACCGGATGATGTATCCAAAACTAATGTGTGTACTAAGAATTAAAAAATCTCACTACACTATGTAACATCATACTGAATTTTTTAAATTGTTAATTTATTTGAACATATTCAATTAAATTGTTTAAAACTTTCATAAAAATGAACGTGTTATAAAAACTTGTTTTATAATCGAAAGCACCAGTCAAACACACATATTACTTCGTATTAGATACGCATATTTTACTTACTTCGTAGACACGCTAGATCTTTTTCGTCCAACTTAAATTTTTTTGACTATTCTAAGTTTTCAAAAAAAAAATCTACGAAAATTCTGGATGATTTTTCATCTCTGCTACTTTGAGAAATAATTATTTAATTCAAATGTTAGAATTTTATTTAGTAAAGATTGAAATTTATGCTAAGAAATTTGAGAGTGAAATTTCGCTTAGGTAAAAAAAAAACCCTAATATGAAGGGTTGAATAGAAAATATAATTGGAGAATGATATATGTATGTGTGAATATATTTACCTTTATTAATAAAATAATTATAAGAATGTAAAGAACGTTGGAAAAGCATTGTAAAAAGTTGGGTATCGATGTTAGACCAAAAAACCGTTAAGCCGTCCAAACCGTCCAAGGTCGCAAGCTCCTATGTAAACACCTCACGCTACGTCACGCCGTGCCACGTCGTGTCACCCCACTCCGCTACCCGCCGGCCACCGACCGCATTCCTCATACGAACGTCGCAGGTGGGTGACCGCGCGCGCAATTGTGCGTATCTTTTCGTATCGAACGAACGCCATACGAATCTCTCGTGTATGGGCAATAATCCCTGTAGCATACCTATCGTTACTACGAACGTTAATAGTGTACACGATATTCAATTGTGATTATAACTGTGTATGTTTCTCTCATTACTCTAATCTCTAATACGCCATTAGTCTAATTTCTTTCGTACGCTTCGCGTGTAGTTTTAAGTCGTGTGTGTTAATTTTGTAGATACCTTGGTTGGCGGATGCGAAACGAGGAGTGAAGGACATTCTACAATGTGCGTTGCACACACCCGTTGCCAGTTGAAACGTTTGTCGCGACAATCAATTAGAAGCGCGAATTAATAGTATTATTTATGCTTCTAATAAATGTTTCAACTGACAATGGTTGTTTGCAATGCATTGTAGAATGCCCTTCAAAGTCGTGAGTGGATTTCGGAAGCAATCGAGAGTGTTGAAAATTGGAAATGTCGGTGAGTATTGAGAATCGGGAATGCCGAAAGATCAGAGTATTTCGAGTAATTGTTGAGTTTAGCGTCCGATAAAGTTAGGCTCATTCGACGCGTTTTTGCATAAAATGATCGAATCTGACAAAAATCATGTGAATCGAGGTATTAAAGTTGACGATTCGATCTATTCAGGTTAGAAAAGCAAGCAGAGAATTTTTGTTTTAAAGTAGAGAATTTGTGTAATTGAAATAGAAAGACACTATGTGACTTATGTTTCTAGCTTTACATGTCCTTTGATGTGATAGATTTCCTAATTTGATATCTGTCTGACTTTAACAATAATATCTCGGTTCGCGGCGTAGAGCGAATACTTTTGTTGCCGGATTCGTTTATTTCGTGAAAATGCGTCGAATAATCCTAATTTTATCAATATCGGAGGTGGTGAGAAGGTTAAATCAACAATTATCTACAATGATACTCC